AATGATTGCTTCTATTTTTGAGGTTTGATAGCTAATAACACCACTTTTGGGAAGAGTTTCACGATAATCGTATTTCATTGCTGGAATGGCCTGGGAATAGCCCAGATGTTAATCCAATTGAAAATCTATGGAACCGATTAAAGAAACTTGTTAGTCAGAAGCGACCCAGCAATAAAACCCAGTTAATAGAAGCAATCATTCAATCTTGGTTTCACATAACAGTCGAAGAACTAAAAGTCCTGGTTCACTCCATGGGAAGACGTTGTAAGGCCATAATTCATGCTAAAGGTTACTCAACTAAGTATTAACTGACATGATAATTTTTGTACATCTCATTTTTTCTATGGTGATCATTTTTGTATATCTCATTTCACTTTTCTTCTCTGTAACTGCTATTCTAATAGCAAATCCTTCATAAAAGTTATTGCATTGCATTTTTAATTAAATTATCTTTCCATTGATATATAATTTTATGGTACTACTGAAAACAAAATGGGGTTATTAGCTAGTTTTAGAAAAGACACTTTTCCCAAAAGGTTTCCACAATTTTGGCCACCTCTGTACAACAGGCAGGCTGTACTTTTTAGCAAAATAGAATGGAGACCTTTATGTAACCTGCAGTAGGCAGATATCACAGGAGTTGCAGCTCCTTTGCCTAGGAACGTTGGCTTGGGGGCAGGAGGGGAATCCGTCAGAATGGCTGCCAGACTTGAGTGGCGATCCCTCAGGACTCCCATCTCCTGGCCAATAGATGAGCCATCCAGGCTCCAATGAAAGTTGCCTTGAAAGGCCCTGATGGGTGTTTTCCTTTTGCAGAGGAGAAACGAGGCAAGAAAAAGAAGCAGAAGCAGAAGCTGCTCTTCAGCACTTCCGTGGTTCACACCAAGTGATTTTATCAATAGGCTTCTCCTACTCCTTTCGATTTATTGGGTTTGCTTTTGTGTTTTTGCTGCTATAGATAAATTATTTTAGTTCGAACACAATCTATTTCGGGGAAGCAGGGAGGGAAGGGCTAGGGGTGATTAAAAATGGGCATATGTTGTTTGCTTGCTGATACCAAACTGAAATATTGCAACACACACACATCCAAAAGGATGTGTGTTAGGCCAGGCTGACTCTTGTTGACCTGGCTTGCCATTGGGCTGTAGAAGTACAACCTCAGAGTGGAGGGTGCACAGCTGCTTTTGCCATTCGGAGAGAGGTTGAATGCGATCAGCCTGAGGCTGCAGTGAGTTAAGCACAACCAGGGGGCTGCTGCTCACCCTTTGGACATAGGGAAGACACCAGCCGATAGAGACCCTTACCAATGGCTGTGCCCACTTAATTAGCACTTGGAAGAGCAGTAGGTTGTGGTGCATGTAGCTCAGTTCCTCCCTCCCGATGCTCTCCTTTGTAAGACCAGGGTTTGCAGAGGTTCTGTTGGAAGAGATCTACCATGGTCAGACTGTGTGCAGTGGCTGCTTTTGGGGTGAAGGTGCTAATTGCTGGGGAAGGGAGGAATGGGGAGCAGCATTTCCCTTTGCCCAGAAGGGGCAGCCCAGAGAGCCTGGCATTTGCTGGGTGCCTAGATTCCAGTTATATAGGAGGATATGTGTTCTTTTCCCACTTTCTTTTCTTCTGTTGGAGAAAATCTCTCATTCTGCACTGCTTTTTGGCTTGATCTGAAAGTAATTAGTACTAAAGTGTCATTTCCATTGACCACAATGAAGTTTGATGTAATATACCAGCAAAGGTAAATAGTTGCAATAAACCATATGCACAACAATTGGTATTTCTGCAGGGTGTTTTTTCCCCGCCAATTATATTTTGATTGAGTCACTCTCACTTGGAATCAACTTGCTTCATTATGAACAGGCATTACCCAGGTCAAAAACATGCAGCAGATCTTCCAGAACAGGAAGTTGTGGCTTTGCTAACCGTTGGAGACCAAACCAGTAATACATCATGCAGGAACTTAAAATTAATAAACCAATGATCTCTGTATGATCACTTCATTTTAGTAGATGCGTGAAATAGACTTTCTTAAGTCATCCCTGAAAGACACTAGAAGTTCCTCATGGAGGAGAATATTCCCTTGGTATGCGCAGGGCTTGTAGAACTCCTTGACTTGACCACAATTGGGACCAGAATTTCAGTCACAAAGCAGTAGGGTTGTTAAGTGAGTCATCAGGTGATTGGATCTAATTTTATAACCAGTTTTATTCTGGTTATTAAGCTAAAACCCCACCTACCCTCAATGTGTATCTTGCTCCTTTCCTATCTTTGCAATTTTAAAATCAATATTAGTGTTAATGTTGTTTTAATGTTTTATTTTGTTTTTATTGATTAAACTCTGTCTAGAGCCACCTCTGGACGAGATGAACAACATAGAAGTTTAATAAATAATGACCACAATTGTTAAGCGAGTCACGTCATTCAGTGAATCATGCATTTAAGTAAATCTGGCTTCCCCAATTAACTTTGCTAGTCTTCCTTTGAAAACCAGAACAGTACAGTTGAAGGTAGAATTGAAACACTGGTTCAAGTATGAGTCATGTATTACTCAAATACAGAGTAAATAAACAGAGGAAAGGAATTGTTTATCTCATGGATGGATGGATGGATGGATGGATGCACATTTGAATTCCATCTAATACTGAGTCTGGATGGTTTACCATCCATTGAAAATTTTCATAAAATTTCAATTTTTTATTTNGAATCTGGCTTCCCCATTGACTTTGCTTGTCAGAAGATTGCAAAAAAGGGATCACGCGACCCCCAGACACTGCAATTGTCATAATTATGAGTCAGTTGGCAAGTGTCTGAATTTAGCTCATATGATTGTGGAGATGCTTGCAATGGTCACAAGTGTGAAAAATGGTCACGAGTCACCTTTTTCAGTGCCATTGTAACTTTGAATTATCATTAAATGAACTTTTGTAAGTCGAGGACCACCTGTAGCCTTTTATTGTCCATAGTCTCTAGCATAAGAGTATATTGAGTGCATATCACCTAACAGCTGGATCATGGACAAAGACAAAATATTGCAAGCTGCCCAGAGTCGCTTGATAGTGAGATGGAGAAGATGTAAATTTAACAACTTGTTTCCATCACTTTTGTTTGTACCTCTGTTCACTGAGAGCTTATGCACCAGAGACAAATTCCTTTCATGTCCAATCACACTTGGCCTATAAAGAATTCTACTCTATCAATAAGTAAATAAGTACAGGTGAGAGAGGACATGGGTCCCTGGGGCTCAGTGGGGAAAACGGGGCTTCAGCATCTCTGGGAATTCTGGAAGGAGAACCATCCTGATGGCTCTGGGTAAACGATCCCCCCTCCCCAAGCATTCTAGACCAACAAACTTTGTCCAAACTAAAGAGAGTGTTAATGATACTATCAATATGGTAGAAGGAGCATTTTATAATAATTAATGGAGTGGAGAGAAGACGTAGATTGAAGAGGGGCTTTTGATCTTGTGAGGAACTTTCCATTGGAAGAATGAAAGCTGTTTTGCCCAAGAATCAACGGCGGAGGAGATTCTGTGGTCTTTTAAAACACAAACATGGGAGGATCGATGTAGAAGTTCTTATTGGTTCCCAGCCCAAATCTGCTTTCTTGCAATTTAAATCCTTGCTATCTTGACGTGTCTTCTGCCCAATCTTCTGCATGATATCCCTTGTTATTGTATTTCAGGCTATCGGTATCCAACTCCTCTAACTGTTTTTTCCTTCCAAGCCTCTTGGGGTTTAACATATGCTCAGAGTTCATTCTGTTGAGGTTTGATTTACTTAAACACTCCCTCCCTCCCTCTCTCCTTTCTCTTTTCCTTCCCTCTTTTCTCCCTTCCTCCATCCCTTTTCCTTCCTTCCTTCCTTCCTTCCTTCCTTCCTTCCTTCCTTCCTTCTCCATAACTTTACAGAATACAAAGCATTAAAAAAAGGTCCAGTGAAGCAAACTGCTCCATATTTGATGTCTACCCAGAAATTAGAAATTTAGAGATCAGAAATCTAGTGGCTAATGATGGATGAAGGTGCAATCTACTTCCACCACTTGTATTATTGTATTGTTGCTGGAGAAGATGGGGAGAGAAAAGCTGATTTCCATGGAATGTATTTCATCCTTCCGAGATCAGTAAAATGAGGACCCAGATTATTGGGGGCCATATGTTGACTCTCTGAACCGCTTAGAGAGCGCTGTAAAGCACTGTGAAACTATTGCTATTGGTATGCTATTCAGCCCTCTCAGCATGGGGTCCACTTATACTCTAGAGGGCGCTGTTGTGCCATAACTGAAATTCTCATCGGGATACATAGCTGGTTTGCAAAGGATACTCAAACTGGAGAAGGTATTAAGTGCAGTTTTAGCTCCACTTTGAGCATCTTTATTCATGACTTGGGCAAGAAGGTGGAAAGAATACTTAATCTGATTTGCATATCATGGAAAAAAATGCACGGAATAGATTGTGATAAGACAGAAATAAACATTCAAACCAGCGTTGATAGAGTTCGAATTAAGGGGAAACCAGTCAGATTGTCAGGTACAAGATGTACAATTCCTGGCTTGACAATGGTTTTTAGGGGATAGATTTGGAATAGTAGATTGCAATTTTATGTACATGAACCAAAAGTGAGTTGTGGGTGTGAAACAAAACAACAGAAAATTTAAGATGTCCTTCTCAATGGGTACCAAATATCTGCTGGGGGCAGGGAGCTGAGACTTTGAGTTTCTGTCTTCTTTAAGATTTCTCTTTTAGGGGAAATATTTCTCAAAATATTTCGTTCTCTTAGGAGAGGTGACCAGTAAATGCTCTGTAAAGAAGACACATTCAAATTATTTCAGGCCATGGAACTTGAATAATTAAAAAATTAAAAATCTCAGAAGCCCTAATCAAGAGACAAATTTTAGGGATAGAAAATGGCCAATAAAATGAACCTTCTGCTTGTTATTTATGCGCACCCACCCACCCACCCATATGTTTGTGTCTGTGTGTTGTTATTTAAATTTCACAAAAATGCACAATTACTTGCTTAGAAAGTTCCACTGTTTATTAACATTTCCAATATACAGAAATTAAAACTTGAATTATTGGAAAATAAATGTATTGACCAAAAATATTTTGTTCAGTGATTGGAATATGTTTGTTCCAAAGACCATTGATATTGTATTTTTAAAATGGTAAACTGTTTGCAGTTTCTGCCTATGCTTTCAATTCTATACCAGAATCACCCTGTGCATTTAAGAGACAGTATAATTTTTTTTCTGCACAATTCTTGGAGTGATCATGTGTTGTGTGTTATATGATCCCTCAATTTTGACACAATCCTGTAAAAAAAGAGCAAAACAGCTCTGATGAAAATGCTATAAAATTATTATTAGCCAAACAAGGCAGAATACTCCCTGATTATCTTCTGTTTTAAAATATTGGGCAGGTTTTTTATTACGAGGAAGACACGTCCCAGTTGGACATTTTATCCTATTTAAGAAGATTTTTACATATCTTATTTCATTCTTCAATAAAATAACTAAATTAGCGGATCAGCAAAATGCTGTGGACATAGTATACTCTGGAAAGAGTACAGAGAACAGAAACAAGAAAGATTAGGAAGTTGGAGGCTAAAATATATGAAAAACGGTTGCAGGAATTGAGCATGTCTAGTCTAATGAAAAGAAGGACCTGGGGAGATATGATAGCAGTATTCCAATATTTGAGGGGCTCCTACAAAGATGAGGGGGGGTCAACTTATTTTCCAAAGCAGCAGAAGGCAGGACAAGAAGCATTGGATGGAAGCTAACCATGGGGAGAAGCAACCTAGAACTAAGGAGAAATTCCCTAGCAGTGAGAAGGATTAACCAGTGGAACAGCTGGCCTTAAGAAGTTGTGGATGCTCCAGCATGGAGGTTTTTAAAGAAGAGACAGACACTTGTCTGGAATGGCAGGTCTCCTTCTTAAGCAGGGGGTTAGACTAGAAGACCTCCAAGTTCCCTTCCCACTCCATTAGTCTATCTTCTATGTCTGTCAGCCACTGTCTGTCCCACTACGGCCCTTCAGGCAGCCAAGCTCGCCGACTTCCTCCCTCCCTCCCATTGAGTTGGTGTCTGATTTGTGCACATCCTCATCAGTCACCAGCCACTGAGAGCCCAAGGAAGGAGGCCTGGCTTTTTGACTTCCCCTGAGTACTTAACATCACTTAACCTTTCAGATAATAGAGAGAAGGAAGACCTGGCATGGAGCTGATGTCTCACTGAAGGTGGGGCAGGAAACCCGATGAGCCAGCAGTGGCATTAATTAGCAACCCCCCAAAAGTACCCAAAAGTGACTCTTGTTTGCGATCTCAAAATGGACCATAGGTGGCCAGCCTATGGAGCTTATCTTCCCAACAGCCTCGTCTCCATCATTAATTTCTCTCACTTTATTTTGTAGGAAGTTAGCACCCATCCCTCTCCTAGAAGAATGAAATATCCTGGGAAATATTGAAAAGGCAGAATATTATATTTCCCTGGATAAGAAATGGAGAAATATGTTTTAGGTAGGAAACAGACTCATTCTTAATAGCCCCCACCTTTGTCAATGGGCCATTAAAAGGCCTGAGTCAGTCTATTCTACATAACAAAGATCTTCCCCCTTCAGCTCCAGGGTGATGGGATTAAGGCATGCTAGTATTAGCCCTTTACCCAACTCACCACGGGGCACCTGGGAAGAAGCAAGGCTNTGGGGGCGATATGCTGACTCTGTAAACCGCTTAGAGAGGGCTGAAAGCCCTATGAAGCGGTATATAAGTCTAACTGCTATTGCTATTGCTATAATCTTCCAGGATTTGAAATGGATGCGTCACATTAGAATCATCATTAAAAAGGAAAACAAAGAGTGTTGTTCCTGCATCAATTTAGGAGCTGTTGATACAGTTTTACCAAGGAATTATTAAGTCTGTCATTTCTATTTCTTTAACTGCCTGGTTTGGTATAGCAATCCAACAGGGCAGGTACAGACTCCAATGGATAGTTAAGACTGCGGAAAGAACAATTGCAACCAGCCTGTCTTCCATAGAAGGCCTGTAACTTGGGTGGGTCAGAAGGAGGACTGAGAAGATTGCCTGCAGACCCCTCACATCCTGGACATAAACCGTTCCAACTCATTCCCTCTGTATGGCACTTTAGAGCATTGCATGCCAAAACAATTAGACAACGGGGACAGTTTTTTCTCTGGTGCCATCACTGCTGAACACCTAATTCTCTCGGTGATGCTAACGTCTATTAACCCAGTGTGACTGTAATATTATTTATCCTTTTTATTATCTTCTTTACTCCCTCCTTTTATTGGTATTATTATTCTGTTGCTTTGCTGAGAGCTCCTGTATCGGAGGCAAATTCCTTGTATGTCCAATCACATTTGGCCAAATAAAGTATTCCATTGAATTCAAGCTGTAAACAGATTTGTAAGCCTTTGATCAATTGGAGTCTCAGCACAGCACTCCTGTTTCAACCCTCTTTTCCCTTCCTGGCTCTAGGTTTTGTGGTTAATGTGGGTTTAATCTGGTTGCATTCTGGACATTCCCTCACGGAGAATGGTTAGTCTCCCAGCTCAGGATCTTGACGGGCTTTGTGCTGCAGGGACACTTCTCCAGATATGCAATGCTTTTTTGTGCCTTATGAAACCCTGAAGACAGGTTGTGTTTTTTTATCTGACAACGATGCAGCTGAAGCTTTGGTACCCTGTCTGCCTGAGTGCGCTTGGCCGGGTAATCGGATAGGAAGGGTGCACTGAGCCAGGTCCAGGGAGTAGCAAAGGGCTTCTATTTTTGGCTCAGGAGTCTGATTAGGGGCGACATGGAAGGCGGAAGAAAGAGTGCATGAAACAACCCATTTTCCTTTGTTTTTCAGTGGGAAAACACTACGGGGAAGCTGCCACTCCTATGGAAATTGCACAAACATATTGCCATAAATATTGCCTTCTTTCATTTCTTCCAGCTAGGAAAATTGAGTCCAAAATTTCTGTTATTAAGTGAGTTAATTTTGTCCCATTTTATGACCTCTTTTGCCACAGTTGTTAAGTGGATCTCTGCAGTTAAGTTGGCAATATGGTTGTTAAGTGAATCTGGCTTCCCCATTGACTTTGCTTGTCAGAAGATTGCAAAAAAGGGATCACGCGACCCCCAGACACTGCAATTGTCATAATTATGAGTCAGTTGGCAAGTGTCTGAATTTAGCTCATATGATTGTGGAGATGCTTGCAATGGTCACAAGTGTGAAAAATGGTCACGAGTCACCTTTTTCAGTGCCATTGTAACTTTGAATTATCATTAAATGAACTTTTGTAAGTCGAGGACCACCTGTAGCCTTTTATTGTCCATAGTCTCTAGCATAAGAGTATATTGAGTGCATATCACCTAACAGCTGGATCATGGACAAAGACAAAATATTGCAAGCTGCCCAGAGTCGCTTGATAGTGAGATGGAGAAGATGTAAATTTAACAACTTGTTTCCATCACTTTTGTTTGTACCTCTGTTCACTGAGAGCTTATGCACCAGAGACAAATTCCTTTCNCCCCACTGCTATAAGATCCACCCTAGAAATTAAAGGAATAGAATGAATGTGACATCCTGTGGCTTTCCATTTCCCCGTTCCATTTTCTACTGACTGGAAAACTCATTTACACTTCAAATCTTGGCCTGCCAGCACTTGTAGGAAAACATGACGAGTGCAAAGGATGTTACACTGCCACTTGCAAACAAGCCTCACCTAGGTGGGCTTGTTCAAATATTGGAAATGTCAAAGGAGTAGAATATTTTTAGCATGTTGGGCCATCCTTCCCCTTCAGAGACTGTCCAACCTTGTTGTAGAGAAACAGACCAGCCCTTTTCATTGATGCCTTGTTAGAAAATCCACATGTCCAGCGAACAGAAGAGCCCAGATTTGACAAGGTCAGGTAGAAATGGCTAAAACAGATGTAATGCAGACCTCAGATGGGAAGGAGGTAGGATTAAGTTGCATCTCTTGCACATTCCCTTAAATGTGAATAAAGCTAACTACTGTCATGCTTGAAGATTTCGGTGAGTGATGGGCAGTACAATAAGTATGCAACAAAATGTAGATTGGGATATTCATAAAAAGATGTGAATACTTATGGAAAAATATGACTGCCCTTTTACTTTCAATCTCCTTGAAATGTCACTTCCTTTTCTAAGAAACTTGGCACAAATTGTAGCTTCTGCATTGTGTTGCAAGAAATTTACATAACTGCTTCCCAAAAAACCTTTTTATGGTTATGAGTGTCCTCCAACTGCATTGCCAAATTTGCTAGTCTGATTGCCAACAATTGAAAGCAATTTCCTGTAATTCTATAGAAGGAAACAGGTAAATGCACTTTACAAAAAAGCTCTGCCCTTCAAAAACAAAGGAAACCCTACTTGTCTACAAGCACTCTTGCATGTCAGATGCCGCCTTGCCTACTTGACCTCACTGCCCAACTAGGTCCTGTATGAGGGACCTTCCCATGCCAGAACATGGTGCAGCCCAAGCCACGACAATGTATATATTGTATGTTCTCTTTTACTTATTTAACATGTATGTTAATGTATCAAACATCAAATCCATAAACTAATCAGATCCCTACTTTGGGGGGCTGAAAGGATCTTGTGTGAAGTGTGCCAGGTAACACTTCCGGTGTCTCAATGGTACAAGGGCAAAAAGTCGAGATGGCGTATAAAAAATGGGCAAAGGTTCAATTTTGCCATTGTCGTCACCACCTTTCCTTTTTTTAATTATAACAATCTGGAGCTTAACATGTTTAAAATTGTAGAGATAAGAATGGGATTTAAGAGGAGCCCTTCTGTTTTAACCCCTCTTACTATTTTTGACAGCACAATATCAGCCATAGAGTCTTTCAAGTGTTTGCATTCTATAATGCAAACCGAGGTGGCGCAGTGGTTAAATGCAGNCATCTTGTACCAATTATCTGGACAGATCTCTAACAAATTTCTGGACCATTGTGTTTACTCCCATACTTATCGGATTTGCACCCAGGTAAACCAGGGAGTGACTCGAACAATTTGAGACCATGTATATTATTATCCACTTTTAACATCAATACTTTTTAATTATATTTTAATGTCAGTACTTTTTAACATATTGTAAAAAGTAATGTGTATTGCTGGTCTTTGACCGTAATAAAGATTTATAGTATAGTTGCAGCACTTGCTAACTGCACTCTGCAAATCCACTAGTGATCCCACTGTTGGGCTGTCTCTGTGCATTCATGGTCTTAAGTTTTCCAGCAAATACACTAAATCCATGCTTAGAAAACAACCTCCAGTTCGCTCCTCTGGAAATAACACTTCTATGTGCTGCACCGAGGAGGCAGAAGGATGACCCCATGAATTCCACCCAGTCTCCAGCCCGTGTGGATTTCCTAGGAGTCAAAAGCTTCCCTCCCCTCCTCTGTCTTTGAGCAAAGAGGAGCAGAGACCTGTGGGGGGAAAACTGGTACAATACACACAGCTTCAGCTAGTTTTATAAACACAGAGGTGTAAAACTCTGTGTATATTGCCCTTGAGAAGCACTCCTTGCCTAAAGCACTTCAGGGGCGATGTAATTCAGTCCATCTCCAGATTCTCCTCACTCTCTTCCTCTTCACTCTGAAACCGCTCCACTCCCACAAGCACACAGCTCTGGACCGACTTCTGGATGGCTTCTATATCGGCTGGTAAAACGAGAAAGGAATTTGCAAGACGCCCTCATTGACATGTCAGTAAAGGCCTCGCCATCTTCCAGTGGCCCTTATTTAGTTGACCTCATGGCAACGGAATGTCTCTACAGTAATATTTCTCCATTCTGGCCACTTCTAGCCTTGTGGACTTCAATTCCCAGAATTCCCCAGCCACTCAAGAACTCTGCTGGCTGAGGAACTCTGGAGGTTGAAGTTTTAAAGTTACCAAGGCTGAGAAATACTCCTGTGGCATTCCTTCCCCCACCTTGGACTGCAGCACTCATAATTCCCTGCCCAATGGATGGCTTTCTTGATTGTCTTAACCCTGTTGGTCTAGAGTTCAAGTGTCTGGAGCAACAAACCAAACACCTTTGACTATTCACACACAATCCAGTTTTAACTTTTTGAGCACTAGGAATTAGAAATGAGAAGAAACAATTTCGAGGAAACTTTCATTCTCTATAGGTTTTCAGTACTGCCAGGATAGGTAAAGGTAAAGGTTCCCTTCCCACCAAAGGTGGCTCCTATTTTTCTACTTGCATTTTTTCATGCTTTCGAACTGCTGGGTTGGCAGAAGCTGGGACAAGTAACGGGAGCTCACTCGGTTACGCGGCACTAGGGATTCAAACTGCTGATCTTCTGATTGAAAGCTCAGCTTCTTAGCCACTGAGCCACTACATCCCCTACTGCCAGGATAGTGATATTCAATTTTTACATAAAGTATACAGGGGATTTTAAAGAAAAATGAATAAACTGTCCTGCTTGGACAAAGTAGCCAAAATAAGGGGAGGGGAGAGGAAAAAGGCCAATGGAGCCCCAGTGCTTCGTAATTAGATAATTAATTAAAGTGCTTAGTAATGTTAGATTCAATCTCTTTGCAAGGCATTCTGATCTGACTAGCTAGGATAAGGGTTCTCAAACTTGGCAACTTGAGGATATATATGGACTTCAACTCCCAGAATCCCTCCACCAACCAAACGGGCAGGGGAATTCTGGGAATTGAAGTCTGCATATCCTCAGGTTGCCAAGGTTGAGAAACACTAGATAAGTTAGAGGCTGCACTTTGCTCAGAGACATGCCAACATTCCAGATTAGGATTAATTACCTTCACTGGTACAGTTCCGTAACAGCAGCAGGAGCTGGTTCCTGTTGTACTGAATGATGAATTTCTGACAGGTTCGTATTGTTGCTAGAAACAGAGAAGGAAGACACTAGGATTCTGCAGGCAAGGAAATACTTGCAGCCTAAATGTTCAGAGTAATGGATTTTTAACCGAGCAAACCACAATGAAACATTCTCATTGTCCATTTTTGACAGATATGCAAGAAACAAAGACTATATTAAAGCTCTTCGTGTAACCTTTACAATTTGTGCACACTTCCTTCAAGATCAGGCTACAATTTTGTTGTATACATGATGTACAATGACAATAAAGGCTATACTACTACTACAATATCTGTGCTGCAAAAATCCACACAACCACTAAAGGACAATAAAACACTACTGCTCTCTATCTCTGCTACCATTTGGTGACTTAAATACTGTTATTTACTATATATGAAATCCAGAAATTGAAACTAGTGTTTTCTTTCAAAAACAGGATTCTCTATTTTCAGATCAACAAAATGTTGATCCACTGGTTGTGAAGAAATTGAATGACTGGTTTGTTGCCTAAACTATGTACACATAACTGTTACCCAATATTGGTGGCAAGAGAAAATAAATTTTCTGAACTGCTTCTAGCACGATTTCTGGATGTACCCCAACTACACAATTTGTGCCAATGGAAAAATTTATTGATATTGATTTAATATTCCAGATCATATAATCATTTTGAGTTGCCTCCCATCCCTGATAGCTACATCTAAGGAGGCAATGTTGGGAAACTTAACTTTTCCCCATTACTTGTCTGATTTCCAGAGGCTCTTTGCAGCTTTATTGGTTTGCTTTGTCCTTTTCCTGGTCTGTGTGTGTGAGAGAGAGGCCCAAAATCATCCACGTGGCTTTGTGCCTAAAGCGGAACTAAAGCTACCTTCCTCCCAATTTCTACTGCTATGCCCTTAACAACTATACCAACCTTTCTTTTTTCATTTCAACCTTCTGCTTTTGAAATTGTAACACGGTATTTATTTGTGCTATTACTGTAAATTGTATAGATTTTTATTTTTTATTTAAAATTTATTTAAAAATACCCAGACTTTGAATGATTCCATTTCTGGCAAAGATGAACATGGCACCAATAAGTCAGATTATTTCCCTTAAGAGATTGCACAAAGCAAAGTTTTTTTTTAAATGCCCTTTAAAATGCTGTATTTAAAATACACTTTTACAAGAGAAAGCTTACCTCCAACATGAAGTGTGTTAAAAGAGCAGGGACAGTGTTGGCTCCTATTTTCTAAGTGAGTAATAAAAGGAAGGGACGACCACAAAAGCCGATAAAAAACTTTCCGGCAACAGAAGAGAACCACTCCGGTGTAGGCATTCAGGTATTTTACTGAAGAGAGAAACCAGAGAAGGGGAAGGGGTGAGATAAGACGCATGCAGAAGTTTCCCTCATTGCAGGAAAAAAAGTGTGGCTTCCTTTAATTCAGAGGTCTTCAAACTTGGCAACTTTAAGACTTGTGGACTTCAACTCCCAGAATTCTCTGCTGGCTGGAGAATTCTGGGAGCTGAAGTCCAGAAGTCTTGAAAGTTGCCAAGTTTGAGGACCCCTAATTTATAGCAAGAGTTTTCAAACTTGACAACTTGTGGAGTTCCACTAGAATTCCCCAGCCAGCATTGTCCAAAACTTCAGCAAAAATGATCTATAGCAAACAATGGATTCCCTCAATGACCATGGTGGAGGACTCATTTTACTATCATGATTTATGACTTTAATGTAATGGCCATTAGTCAAGACTACCTGCATTGCGCACTAGCAAAACCTTGGAAACCACACCTGAAAAAGCAATAGAGCAACAGGCGAATCCAAAGTCTCCATGTATTCTTGCAACTGCATTCTTCACCGTATTGTGCACTATGCGCTCCTCAATGAACTGCCGACAGCGAGGGTCTTCAGAGATGATCTCGCAGAGGAAGTACCTCAAAAGGCAAAGCAGAGCAGAAGATCAAAGAAGGGACTCTTAGAGCTACCCATAGTGCACCACCTGCTTTACACTACTGGGGAGCAGAATACTCAGAACTTCCAGATGGGACAAAGAGCAGGATTTCCTAGGCTCACCTATGCACTGTTCTTTTCAGAATTTGATAAGCATATGTAAACATGTTTTAACAGCTGAGTTGGTGGCAGCTGCAGACAGTGGCATTAACTCCAGCTCCTTGTCAGGTAGAGTTGGACAGGAATTATTCAGAACCTTGAAAATCTGTTGCCAGTCAACCAGGGCTTCATTTGGCAAGCAATGTTATTTATTTGAAATATTTCTGTATTAAATCAAAGGGATCTCTGAGCTCTGCAATATTTCTGTTTTAAATCAAAAGGATCTCTGAGCTCTGCAACAGTAAAAGCTTCTCTAAAGAAAATTTCTGGTCTGGGTGGGTCACCAGACCAGAGGTTTAATTTTTTGAGGTTTTGAACTCATTCTCTTTGTGAGAGAATTTAGTGGCTAAATCAAATACAAACTTATTCTTTACACATAACCCTATACACATAATTAAAAGCTTAGAAGCAAAATATTGTTCACAAAAGTGATCTTAAGTTTTCCAAATGCACTTTATTTATCAATGCATCCAGTTCAATTCCAAAAATCTTTTGCAGATGTCCCAAAGGTGCTTTTTCCAGAGGCAACTGGACTTTCTGGTTTTTCTTTGAAGACATTTCGCTTCTCATCTAAGAAGCTTCTTCAGCTCTTTTGCAGATGATTTCACCAAGAACAAGCACTTTCCAAGCAGGATTAATCAGTTCAATCAGGGGAGTGGGGAACCTGGGCCCTTTTATGACGCATGGACTTCCAGAATTCCCAAGCCCAGGAATTCTGAGGNTCAATTCAACCCTGAGCTACAAAAGTTCTCCTTTATCAGAATGTAAGCACAGCATCTGTAACTTCTTTCAGGCTTTGCAGAAATACCCTCCCGACCTCCCCCCACAACCAGTTGTATTTGGATGTGCACTGAAGCATCTTTTCCAACTCATTTTCAAAGCATGCACAGCTTCACACAAGCTGAACTGTTTGCTGGCTGATTGTACATTCAGTGATCTACAGAATTCCTTTGAAGCTACCCGTCCCTTCTGATTTTGCTCACTGATGCGCAGCCTCAATTATAACCAGTGGGCTGAAGGGACTGGGAGACTCTGCTGCCTCTCACAACTTCCCAGCTTTCAATTTTTTTTAAATGGCTTTTTTAAAAAGTCAGTCTATAACCGACATTGCAAAATATCCAGCAAATATCCCTATTTTTGGGAAGATGGAGCCTGCTCTCAGGTTAACCAGGATACACAACTAATAATGACAATCTGAGACCTATATTAGTTATAAAAATGACTATGAAGCGGGTCCTGGGGTGGAAATTGGACATCTTCCTTTTAATTCAGCGTTTGGCCTCCCTTCCTAGAGCAGGGATTCCCAAACTTGGCAACTTTCAGACATGTGGACTTGAATTCCCAGAATTCCCCAGCCAGCCATGCTATAGAACAGGGGTGTCAAACTCAAGGGTGGGGGGGGAAGGGCAGATCCGCCCCGCAGGGTGCTTATATCTGGCCCTGGAAAACAGCAAAGGACCGCCCACAGTGCCTCTGCCAGTGAAAATGGACCTCGGGAAGGCTGCGAGTGGCCTCCCCAGCTCCCTTTTTGCTGGCAGAAGGTTGTAGGAAGCCATTGCAGCCAAAAACAGAGCTCGGGAGCCTGCTGATAGAGTGCTCAGGCCAGCACAGGTGCCCCCAAAATGAATGACGTTGAGTTGGCCAGGCCCCCTTGCCCCCTCCCCCAGGTCAAACACAACCCTGATGTGGCCCTCAATGAAATAGAGTTTGACACTCCTGCTCTAGAATGCTGGTTATATCAATAGAAAATATTACTTTTGCTTTCGAGAAATCCTAGACTATATTTTCCATTCACACATTTTGTTAGAGGAATTGCCACTCCAGGCATATTCTGGATTTTATCCAGCATGAAAAGCACATAAGGAATGGCCACCACCTTCTTTTCTGACCCAGAGGTCACCCCTGCCCCCAAGGCCTGTAGAACATGGCACTGGAGATGGTGGCATCCAGGTGGCAGAAGAGACAGCTAACTCCCTTTCTTCCCACCTGGACACTCAGGTGGGACCTGTTAGAAGGGCTGCATTCAGGCTTACATAAACCTGGTGATGTGACAAGGCAGCCAAGCATCCTTCTGTTGCACTTGCCTATGAAAAGCATATTTTCATCCTAAAATAACCTCCTCCGCTGAATGTACAAAACAAATCTGGCTAAAATTAAAACAGCCATTTGAATCTTTGGCTGCTCCTGCCTGGGGCTTTCTGTTCTCGGCTCCCTCCCCTGACCTCCCTTTCCTTCATTTTACAAAGTCACTGAAACAGAAATGAGCATTTTTAGCACAATGGCCTGGAGCCACTTGTACAAGCTGAACCCCCTCCAAAGCTCCCTCTGGGACACACAGCTGAGGGGCAGCGTTTTGCCAAGAGTTACACAAGCAGCCAATGTCTTTCCAAAACAAATTGCTCATTAAACCAAAATAATTCAGGACCATCTGAGGGGGAGGCACTCCTCTGTTTATGCCCAACCACCATTCTGGGGGGGATTTCTTTCAAAAGAGCCTCTGTAAGCCATCTCTGCTTACAAGGATCAATTCTGCAAGCTGTCCCAGCTGCTGCAAAAATTTTTTAGTGTACAGAGTGAATCTCCTGCGAAAGTCATTTGTGAGTTTCAGCCTCTGTTGGTGCTGTGCTCAAACCAGACCCTGGGAGGCATTTTTCTGACATCTGCTCTAATTCTAGACTAAACAATGTCATCTTATAAAAAATGTTTAAAGGCAGCCCATGCCTTCCGATTATTAGTAGTATTAATAGTTAAGACATAATATCCAAGCAAGATATCCTAGTCAACTGAAGAGAAGGACCTGGGGAGACAGGATAGCTGTGTTCCAATATTTGAGGGGCTGCCACAGAGAGGAGGGAGTCCAGCTATTTTCCAAAGCACCTGAAGGACAGACAAGGAATAGTGGATGGAAACTGACCAAGGAGAGATTCAACCTGGAAATAAGGAGAAATTTTCTGACCATGAAAACAATCAACCCATGGAACAGAAGTTGCCTTTGGAGGTTGTGGGAGCTTCATCACTGGAAGCTTTCAAGAAAAGACTGGACCGCCATTTGTCAGAAATGATGTAGAGTCTCCTTCTTGGGCGGGGGGTTGGACTAGATGACCTACAAGATCCCTTCCAACTCTGTTAATCTGTTAATGTCCAGGGGTGTCTGCAAGGATGGACAAAAACAGTGAAAATGGCAGTCAGAACAGAGCATTTATCCATTGATTATTTAGGAAATGATGAAAGTTGCTTCTCTCCTTAATTACTTTTCATCCATTGCCTCTTATCGTGCTTTGGAGAATAGGGTGACTCCCCTTCTTTGAAGACCTGTGACTTTTGGGGGAGGGAGTTATTCCCTATTTTAATTATACTTAAACTGCAGGAAACATTATGAATTTTAAGAGTTGGTTTTGCATTTAATCATGCCAATATGATG